GTCACATAGTAAGAATCTAACGTTTCAAAACCGTTGTTGCAACCTAATTTTGTTTAGCGGGAAGGAGCCAACCATCCTTTAAAAACATTTTCATCTAGCCATGAAGTTTGAAATTCCCTAATCTTACGTTTCTTAACTGCTCCTTTTCCTTTTAAATCCATATTATAAAGAATTAAAATATATGTAACGACCTAACTTTTGAATGCGCGGATGCAGCTCGTCGGATTAATCATCGCAGGATTCAAAAGAGGTTCGATCGGTGGGAGAGTGCCAGTAAGATCTCAGATATAAGAATACGAAACAAAGTAATTTATTTATGTATGTATGATAAATGGATGTTATATACAAGATGATCTGGTGATGTTGAAACATGTGTAAGTGTTCTGTGCGTGTGTACGTGTATGTGGCGGTGAAGATTGCGGCGAACGTCTTTCCTATGAAATGCGCGTATATTTACAAGATTTGCGCTTGGCGCAATAGACGTTGGTAAGCAAAGTATATGTACAAGTGTGCGTGTCGACGATCGGTGTCGGCGTGTGCGTGTGTGTTCGCTGGTAACGCGTATATTATTTTCGCGACGCGAGACTGTGATGAGCTGTTTAAATGCCGGCTCGTATTTACTCAACTTTTTCTATATCGCTGGCCGAGACGGTTCGTGTTTCGCGATCAGCTGATGTGCGGCTTTTTCTATATGCGGCGTAACTAACAACGCGAGGTGCACGCGGTTGGTCGCAGCTTATGTCTATGCACGCGTACGGCGACCAACGACCGAGAACCCTCGGTAGAGGCGGAGAACACTCCACCCCGGGCTATTGTTGGTCGGTCGCAGCGGCAGAAAATGCAGTTTGATTTATGACTCGAGTTGACGACCGAGAACTCTCGGCGGAGGCAGAGTACCCTCTACCCCGGACGTCAACTCGGAGTCAGGAACCCGTACCGGGTCGGCTGTTGGAAACTCCCGACAGAGATAGAGCACTCTCTATCCCTTTTTCGCGCCTAGCGGTACTGAAAAGGAGTGCCTGTCTTGCGATATATCGAGAACGCTCGATCGGGCTAGAGTACTCTCTGGCTCGGTATTCTAATCGCGTTTTAGCTGTCTAGAATTTCGGAGGTGATATTCCTGTCGGAGCTGGAAACGGAATGTTTATCTTTTCCGTGAGCGCGATGTTTTATGTAACAACATTAGTCGCGTTCGCATTATTCCGCTCGCCTCGCGCTTTCCCGTCGCTTCGACGTTTCGCCGTGTCTGAAAGCGTCGCGTGGTGGGGAACTCCGCGCGTTGAGCGAGTTCGGCGGAGGATCGGCGGTCCTCGGTTGCTGTCGCGTACCTGTGAATTATGCTTTATATTTTGTCGGGCGCTACGCGCCCTCATCGCTGCACCGAGTGGCAATGCAACGGCGTCCGGCCGGTTGTACGGGCCGTGGACGATGCGTGGGGGGTGCATCGTCACATATATAAATACTTATCTTAGCCTTACCTACACTATCCTTACAGAACTCGCCAAGACTACGCGCCCATTTCTCCTACCTACACTGGCTACAAGATGCATGCGCCAAAAACCCGGCCCGTCTAACAACACTGGTTCCGCCCCCCCTGCGGGGGGGGGGCTCCACGACTGTTAGAAATAACCTAACCCAACCCATTCAGTGGTGTGAAATAGCTCTCGTTTTGCGTAGAAAGTCGAAACCCATGTGCAATAGTACAGGTGACTTTTTATGCGAAAACACTTCCATGATTGTACTGTTGCACGTGGGTTTCGCGACTGTCTACGCGAAACGAAAGCTATCTCACACCACTGAATGGGTTGAGTTAGGTTATTTTTAACAGTCGTGGAGCCTCCCCGCAGGGAAGGGAGCGGAACCCACTGCATCAACGCATACACTTCGCAACATTCAGTACTTTACAAACAAAGTAGGTGCTTCCCATTTTCTAGATATTTATCATGGAAGTTGTGTGCCCGTGCACAGGGGGGAGGGGGGTGGAGTTGTTTCGCGTAGAAGGTTCAAAATATCTACATAGGGGGAGGGGGTGCAGAATAGTACTTAATATCGTATATGTTTATATAGCAGACATAGTACGTTATTTTTAAATCTTTTTTGGTTAATAACTTTTCAACGAATAATTAGACGGAAATGGTCAATGACCTTGACCTTCTTGAGGGTTAAGGTCAAGGTCAAGATCACTCGGACGTCATTTGAGGCTGACTGTGTAAAGCGAAACATTTACCGTATCTTGTTATTACGTATTCGCAAGTTTTGGTGGTGGTCCATGAAATTGCGTATTTTCTATAGTAAGTGCTTAGTAATCGCAACGTGCAAAGAACAAATGTATATGCACAATTTTTGTTCCGATAACACAATGATAAGCAGTGTCCAATGTGGACCGTTCTTTAATGGTATTAACCATATTCCATATGCCCATACATTTGTTCTTTGCACCCACTTCTCGAATCCTGCACTTAATATTCCATCATTACCCAAGCTTTTGGCGAAAAATACGTCAAAGGGAAGGATAATATCCGAAACAGATTTTAAAACTATTATTAAAGAGGCGTCGATAATAGCATCGTCGAGCCATTTGTATAATAATTAGTCAAACTTTCATTATTTACTTCACGTTCTCATAGTTTAAGGCATAAGCTATGTATTATTCATCGTCCGCGAGGATTGTATTCGCGGCATGCACGGTCGCGCGTCATAATCGCATGTCTAGTTGCTTTCGGCGCGACACGCATTACTAGAGAGGGCGTACAGAGCTCTCGTGTACGTACAGAGGGAGTACAAGTCCGTTTTCCGTTACGACACAACGAAATCTTTCGAGAGCATTCGACGTGTGATTTCCCTCGCTCCAACACAATTTTGTATTCCAGTGAACGGCAATAAATTTAATGTGAAATAAGAGGAAGTCAATTACTTTCCTCGACCACATCGCTACTGACGGATTACCCGGTGGCACGTGTGACGGACACAAGCTCGTGGCGTCTCATTCACCGTTTACTCAACATCGTGTTTTTGATCCTTCGAGCCGGATGCTCTAAGTCATCCGCGTTCACTGGAGATACGATCATCAATAAGCGGAACTTCCATCGCCAAGGAGGGAAGGTATCCCGTCATCCACAAGCAAGGATTCCACGTCGAAGGAAGGAAGGTATCCCGCCGACAACGGCGGAACTTCATTCGAAGGAAAGTAGGAAGGAATCCCGTCAACAACGGCGGAACTTCGTACAAGGGAAGGCATTCCGTCTCCGAGAGACGAAACCCCTCGCCATCCACTACTCATCCTAACGCTCGAGCGCGGCTCATAACCACAAGGTGTCAGAGCTACGGACTACGAGCTTCATTCTCATCGTCAGTTGCCACCGTCATTCAGAGGCACGCCGAGGACAGCACATTCAAGGCCGTTTCCACAAGGAGGTCGCCACCGGAAGTCGTCAACAAAAGCGCGGCTGCGCAGTACCGGTAAGGAAAACTGTTCGCGGTAGTGCCAACGAAGTTCTTTGTTACGTCTGTTTCAAGCAGGTTAGCTCACGATGACGTCTGCGCAAGATATCAGTGTGCTCAAAAAGCATAGAGCGATCGTCAAAGACGCGTGCACGCGGATTCACACATACATCGACGCGATTTCTTTTGCCACTCCGGCTATTGCTGCTCAGCTTGAGGAACGTAGAATCAAGTTAGACGAATATTGGTCACAATATAACGCAATACAAGCGGAGATAGAATTACTTGACGAAAATGAGGGCAATGATCGGATCGGCTTCGAGGAAGCGTATTATTCGCTTTGCGCAAGAATTCGCGAACTTCTTAATCCATCATCAGCTCCGCGGGCGTAACCGACACAACCGATATCACCGTCTACGTCGAGCGCATTCAGTTGATCGGAAAATCATTGCAGTGTCAGATTGCCCAAGTTGAATCATCCAACGTTTTCCGGCAAATACGATGAATGGTTCCCATTCTACGATTCATTCAATTCAATTACACATTCAAACGCGTCAATCAGTGACGTACAAAAATTACAATACTTAAAGTCTACACTTACCGGTGACGCGAGTGGCGTAATCAGTGCATTGGAAATTTCCGCCGCAAATTATCAAATAGCATGGGATATTTTAAAGGAACGTTATGATAACAGACGAATGATCGTTCACACACACATTAAAGCAATATTAGATTTACCCTCGCTCACCAAGGAAGATTCAACCGAGCTGCGTCGAATCTTGCGGACGGGGCAATCCGACATGTACAAGCTCTCAAGGCAGTTAAATGTCCCACGGCGCACTGGGACGATCTGTTAGTATACATTCTAACCTCAAAATTCGATCCACGTACATTACGAGAATGGCAGTCCTCTTTAACAGGTACTGAAACTCCCACATTTAAACAATTTAACGATTTTATTTCTCAACATTGTTTGGTGTTAGAGACCACAAACAAGATCAGTCTCGCTTCCAAGGACACTAACAAAAATTCACAAACCAACGCAAAACGACAATCCACATGTGCAGCAACAGTCAAATCCAAGTGCAACTGTTGCAAGGGCGAGCATCCCATGTATTACTGCAAGGAGTTTTTGGCACTGCCAATCAAGCAAAGGGCGGTAGAGGTACGCAATCGTAAACTTTGTGTCAACTGTCTCCGCTCTCCGATGCATTCATTGGACAAATGCACATCTAGAGGTTGCAAAATTTGCAACGTCAAACACAATACGTTGTTGCATACGAGCACCAGCTCGGCGGAGGATCACTCCGGCACTTCCGGCACAGGGGAATCAAGCATACAAAATTCCACGACAGCCGTGACGACACATTCGTCGAACATTCAAGGCAAAGATCACATCATGCTTTCCACAGCTGTGGTCAATGTCGTTGCCTCCGATGGCATATCACATTCATGTCGAGCTTTGCTAGATTCTGGATCTCAAGCAAGTTTCATTTCTAGACAACTCGCCGCAACTCTTGGTTTACAGCTACGCCCGCTAAACGTCACAGTATCTGGTGTCAACAGTACCTCATCAAGGCGACCAAGGTAACACTGCAATTAAAGTATAAGCCAGATTAAATTCTTATTGTAGGACGATAGACTGCATAGTAACAGAGCGGATAAACGAGAAGCTTCCACTGACTACTTCAAGGCGTGGAGACTACAACATTCCTCGAAATCTCAAGCTAGCGGACCCCCATTTCAACGTTTCCTCCAAGGTCGACATTTTGATCGGAGCAGAAATATTTTGGGAGTACTTTGCATAGGACAAATCGAGGCCACTCACAGCTATCCAACTCTGCAAAAAACAACATTAGGATGAATTCTGGCTGGACGTCGCAGCATCACAGCGGCGCCTGCAGAAAACGTGCGAGTATTCACCACAGTCATATCCAATGCTCAACTGCACGATCAACTAACACGGTTCTGGCAAATTGAACATCTCGGCAATCAATTCGTGAACAACAAGGACGATGCTTACTGCGAGGAGCATTTCGAAGCTAACGTTGGCCAGAACGAACAGGGCAGATACATAGTAAAACTTCCAATCAAGGAAGAATTAATCGGCAACCTTGGCAGCACAAGGGACATCGCATTGCGACGCTTACAAGGAACAGAGCGTCGGTTCATACGAGATCCCAACTTAAGGGACCAATATGTCCACTTCATGGACGAATATTTGAAACTAGTAGCGTTTTCCACTGGGAAAACTGGTGCAACACTGGTGCGCACTGAGTGCAATTTTGTTGTTCCACTGTGAAAATCAGTTCAGTGTTTAATGTTCCACTGACAAAACTGGTGCAAAAAACTTGCACTGAGTTCAACTTTTGCTCCACTGTCTTTGAAGTCAGTGGAGACCAGTGCAAGTTGTAAATGGCTGCGTTCAGTAGAGAAAGCAGCTTTGTAACTGTTGTAAAATTCTTTAATATGATTGATCTTGCCCTTATTTCCTCATTAGATCTAAGTATAAGCCAATCATATTCAAGAATTTTACAACAGTTGCAAAGCTACTTTTTCTGCTGAACGCAGCCATTGAGGTTATGTATCTGCGCTTTCAAATATGATCGTTAAGGTATGATATTAAATTATTTTAATTAATAACAATAATATTTTTAGTTTTTGCGTATCTAGTAAAATAGCTAGCATTAATATTTCAATGTTCAAAATCATTAGTTCAATGATTTTATACAAAAACTAAAAATATTATTGTTATAAGAAACTGTTATATAAAAAAATTAATTAATAATCGAGGATGTTCAGGAGATTATATATGATTATATAAAATTGTATAAAATCTGAACATATGTATTTGGACATATTTTATATATAATTATGTATAATTTTTTTTTGTGGCGTCGAGTGGTTCACCGCTCTGTGCGATTGACTCGCGATTTGTAGACCCGAGTTCAATCCCACGTGCGCCCAAACGCGATTTTTCGCGTTTAATGAGCCAAAAAATGGCTCCATCTGGTGATCAAAAGATCTATGATCATCAGCGCCGTTCGGATTCGGCGTTAAACTGTAGGTCAGGTTTTTAGATGTGTTTACTGGAATTCCTGGAAAAATACATAATGCTCGAGTTTTTACACTTTCTGACATAAAAGAGAAGCTTCCATATATTTGTGAGAAAAAGTATCATATTCTTGGTGACGGAGCATATGCTATTAGACCATGGTTACTTGTACCATATAAGGAAACAACAACTTTAAATTGTAGTCAAAATAATTATAATAAGAAATTCTGTGCAACCCGAGTAAAAATTGAAAACACTTTTGGTATTTTCAAAGGTCGTTTCCGTCAACTTTTAAAATTAGATATGCGTAAAATAGAAAAAATTAGTAGATACATTCTTGCACTTTGCGTTCTACATAATTTATGTATAGACATGAATGATTTAATTAGTGATAAAGACTATATTCAAGAAGCAAATATCAATTGATAATTAGAGAAGGAGAATGATATCCAATCCCGAGCAGCAGGAGAAGCTAAAAGAAATACCATAAAGGATAGCCTGTTCTTATTTGAATAATGACACTATTAATAAGTAAATAAGTTATTGTAACAATATATAAGGTAGAAATCATAAATAAATATATGTGTGTGTGTGTGTGTATTCTTTTATTTTTAATTAAAAATATTTTACCATAAAGAAAAAATATCATGAAGGAACGCCTTTGCAATATATAAATATTGCACAATAGGTTACACTGAAATAAATTATAATAAAAACTAAAAAACAAAGTATAAATACGCAAATAATTTGTGCTGTATTTATAATATAACAAAATAAAAGTATTTCAATAAAAGTATTTCAAGAAATATTCTTCATTCATAACAAAATAAAAGTAACTCTTAATCACTTATTAGAATGAAGATAATAAGTCTTTAGTATTTAATTTGTAACAAAGATAATTTTTTTGTGTAATTGGAAACAAAAATAAACTTTTTGTGTGAGCTTAAAAAAAATATACATATTACATCTAATGTTCTATACTTAAATCTTTGTACAAAAAGAGCTGATAAACTTTAAAAAAATAGGAACACGTTACATATCTTTCTTAAAAAGTTCTTTAATTAATTGTAATTTTTCTTAGTGACGTCGTTCCTTGCTTTCTTCTTTTGATCGATGTAATTCTAATAAAGTTTCTTGAATTGATTTTTTTTTATTTTCTTTTGCTTCCTTTTCATTACTTCTTTTTAGGGAAACTGCAAAAATTTTATTCTCTGGCATCATTTTCACTCCTTTTGAGGAACATATTTCTTCTCCATTGTTACTTTTTAGGGAAGGTGCAACAATTTTATTCTCTGGCATTATTTTTACTTTTTTTGACAAAGGACTAGGCTGTAAGCTGCTGGATGCATTATGATTTTTTAGTATTCTTGTGTTATGAATGCTCATTAATATCTCCGGCTTAATACTATCATCTAGAGAAGCAATTTTTTCTAGTTGCTCTTCATATGGAACATCTGTTCTTTCATTGCCAGAACGTTTATTATGTTCAATTGCGTCCTTTTTTCTTTTTAATAATGTTTTAAAGCGATTTTCTACTTGAACAGAAGTGTATTTTTGGCCAATATTATCTTCAATATCCGTAGCTATTTTTTCCCACATTACTTTTTTATTTTTGAACTTTTTCATTGGTCCTACCATTTTCATATATATTTCATATTTCTCTAATAATATTTCAGTATCTTGTTCGCCCCATTCTGAACGCTTTTTCTCATCTACAATTGCAATATCTTCCTCAAATTCTTCTAGTTCTGACTGAAATTGACTCTGAAATTCCTCTTTATCTGCTTTATATATGATAATATGTTCATTATTTCGAATTCTGTAGATAGTTTTTAATGGCTCTTGCAGAATTATGGTCCCATTGTTTATTAGGTTTATTATATATTTAACTGCATATTGATTATTATCTAAAAATAAATATCCAAACATAAATTCTTATTTAAAATATATACAATAAAATTATTTAAACTCTTTATTGGAAATATTTTATTAAAAGTACGATAAAAAGAAAAATGCCAATATTGAAAAATTATTATTATTATTACCTTGCATTAATTTCGCATCACAACTTTCCATGCATTCCGTATCAAAATAGAAAACTTCTTCGTTTAATCGAAAGTGTAATTTGCTTTCTGGATTCATTTTTTAAGGTTATGTTCGAAGTGTACAGTGATACAGCCAGTATCGAATGTGTTCCTCTGAGTCTGCACTATTACTGCACTAATGCAGTTTTCATATAAACCTAGCACGGCGCTAGTGCTGCACCAGTTTTCCCAGTGGAAAACGCTATAGGACACATGAAGGAAGTCAGCGTGTCTCCACTTGAGGATACAGCACTTTCTACTTGCCTCATCATGGCGTCTTCAAGGGCGCTAAACAGTCATCCAAGATTCGTGTCGTTTTCGACGCTTCAAGTAAGAGCGACACAGGATTATCATTAAACGACGTCTTGAGAGTCGGCCCAGTGGTGCAGCAAGATTTGATGTCAATCGTGATGCGATTCCGCACCTTTGTTCACGCTTTGATCGCAGACATCATAAAAATGTACCGACAGATGCTTATACACCCTTTGCAAACATCTCTTCAAAGAATTTTGTGGCGCAGCGACTCCAAGGCGGACATCAAGACATACGAACTGATGACAGTGACCTATGGCACGTCATCGGCTTCTTTTCTCACAACCAGGTGAATTAAACATCTAGCCGATCATCATTCATCCACGTTTCCCATTAGATCAGCGTGTATAAGGCGCGACTTCTATATCGACGATCTACTAACCGGTGCAGACACCATCCAAGAAGCGGAGACTCTTCGAGATGAAGCGATCGAACTACTGAGGCTAGGCGCATTTGAGCTTGGAAAATGGGCTTCCAACACCCCAGAATTGCTGGACGCAACACCCAATAGAAATGACAAACCCGTTGTCATCGACGACGACGAAAGCGCTCACATCTTGGGGATCAAATGGAACGCCAACACAGACACGTTACATTTTTCATACGACCATGTCATGTCACATGACGCATTTCAAAACGGAAAATTCTATCGGACGTTTCCAAATTATACGATCCGTTAGGCTTACTTTGTCCGACCATCGTCATCGCCAAGTTAATACTGCAAGATCTCTGGCGAGCAGGCATCGATTGGGACGAGTCAATTCCTCAGAACTTACACGTACGATGGATCATCTTCAAATCGCAGTTGACGGAGCTCAACCGACTAGCGATTCCCAGACGTGTCAAATACAGCATTGAACGTCAACATATACAAATACATGGCTTCTGTAATGCCAGTCAAAATGCATATGGAGCCTGCGTGTACATACGGACTGAGCTCGATGCGAACAAGTATCGTTCAGAACTTCTTTGCTCCAAATCAAGAATTGCGCCGTTGAAGGCTGTATCATTGCCAAGGCTGGAACTATCTGCAGCGCTTCTACTGGCACGGCTGATGGACAAGGTTCGATTGTCAATAGATACGTCTGACATCAAGGTGTATCTATGGTCGGATTCAACAATTACATTGAGCTGGATATCCTCAGAATCACGCATGTTTTCAGTTTTCGTCGCAAACCGCATAGGAGAAATACAACGGTTGACTCAAGCGACGGATTGGCGACACGTACCGTCCGGTCAAAATCCAGCCGACTTACTTTCACGAGGTTCAAATCCAAGCGATTTAATTCATGCAACCACTTGGTGGAAGGGTCCCGACTTTCTGCAACACAATGAGAATTTCTGGCCCGCCAATAAATTTCTACGTCAGGAGGACACCTCCGAACTTCGAAAAATATACGTTAACATTACAGTCGTTGACACCAGTGTCATAGAAGACATACTCAACAATCATTCAAACCTTGACAGAGCCTGTCGTGTTGTGGCATATTGCTTGAGGTTCTTACGAAGACCTGCGGGCATAACAACACATTTTGTCTCTCACGAAGAAACCGCGGCAGCATTGCAACTAATGTGCAAGGTTGTGCAACAGCTTTCATTTCCCGAGGAGTACAAGGCCTTGAGCAGCAACAAGAGCCTCAGTACATCCAGTGGGATTTTGACACTCAATCCATTTCTCGACGATGGATTAATTAAAGTTGGAGGTCGATTAAAACATTCAAATCTAACACAGGACGCGCGTCACCCGGTGCTGCTACCGAAAAATCACGAACTATCAAGACGAATCATCACGCAAGCGCATGTACGTAGCTTACATGCCGGCACCCAGGCTACGATGGCCGCCGTCCGACAGCAATTTTGGCCTTTAGCATTGCGATCTCTAACACGAAAAATCATTTTAAAGTGCGTTAAATGTTTTAAGGTTAAGCCTGTTCATTCAGAAAGCATTATGAGCTCCTTACCCCCTAGTCGCATCACTGTTTCCCGACCATTCTCGTATTGCGGCGTGGATTACGCCGGTCCGTTAACTCTGCGAGAGGGAAAACGTAGAAACGCGCATACTCACAAAGCATACATCGCCATGTTCGTATGCTTCGCTACCAAAGCGGTACACATAGAACTAGTCAGTGATTTAACCACCGACACGTTTTTAGCAGCCTTCAAAAGGTTTATATCGCGCAGAGGAAAGCCTTCCCACATGTGGTCAGACAATGGCACTACTTTCGTAGGTTCCCGTCATCGTTTGCGCGAATTCTCTAATTTTCTTGAAAAAGAGTGCATACAAAATGAAATCCAGTTATTTTTGCGCGAACAGCGAATAACATGGAACTTCATACCACCCAACTCTCCACATTGTGGAGGACTCTGGGAAGCCGCGATAAAGTCTGCAAAATTCCACTTATATCGTATAATCGGCAATGCTCACCTAACTTTCGAAGAGATGCAGACTATTTTATGCGATATAGAAGCGATATTAAATTCACGGCCCATCGCTCCATTGAGCGAAGACCCCAATGACCTCGCTTATTTGAGCCCCGGACATTTTCTAATCGGCACTACCGTAGACAGTTTTCCTTGCCACGATTTGAGCGACATAAGCGAAAATAGGCTCGTTCGTTGGCAACGCGTAGAACAATTGAGGCAACATTTCTGGCGACGGTGGAGTTCAGAATACCTCCACACCTTACAAGCGCGTTCCAAATGGAAGATTAGCAAGGGGGATCAATTGAAGATCGGTCAAGTCGTACTAATAAAACGGCAGGGGTTACCAGGGAGGACAAACTCCTATCTTGGAAGAGAGGGCAACAGATTCCCTAGCGCCACCTGGCTCTGTGGCACCAAAATTGGAATTAAAAAGGTCACGTGACCAGTAGTGGGGATATTATAACCTATACGCGCATATCCATATGAATATAACCAGTTCTAAGTTCCTGAGCGATGTGTTAACTAATGTTATTAACATTATTTAAGTTTGCATTATTTAAGATAGAGAAATATACTGTTTCTCCATCTAAAATAATGCAATCTTAAATAATGTTAATAACATTAGTTAACACATTGCTCTGAAACTCTCTTAACACAATTTGTATTTATATTAATAAAGGTGTTGACTAATATTAAAAATTCTTCTATTTTTATTAATATTTATTTAATAAATATATATGTTTTATACATTTTTTAAATATTGCTATAAAAGTTACAATTATTTTTCGCTATTTTTTTTATTAAAAATATGCAACACATTTTCCCGTCCCACTTTACAGACTGCGGACTATCGGATATACAAATATCGAATATCCGGTGTGGTTAAAATATGTGATGCATAGTATTTTCATACTCCACAACATCATATAGCATGTTAGAGAGCTAATCGTTGTAAGAGCGTTCTGAATACGGGCCTTTATGTGTCGGTTTTTATATAACGATATGAATTATAAAATTAATATGGTTATATCTTTTCATACGACCATTCACACTTAACAATATAATATAATATTTATAATATCTTAATAATATGTATATATATATATGGCTTTGGTACATTTCGGGGACATTTTTTGATACAGATGGTACATTTTGAGGACTTTTCGCACTTTCGAGGACAGTCTTCAAAATTTTTTTGGTATATGGTATATTTTAAGGACTGTCTTCAAAATTACTCGCTTTATGGTTGGTCACATTTGAGGACATAAGTTGTGTCAAATGAATGTCCTCAAAATAGACCAAATACATTTGAATACTGTTTTGCGTTTGGTACATTTTGAAGACACTAAGAATTCAATATTTATTACATTAAAAATAATTAATAAAAATACATATAATCTGCAAGAAAATCAAAAGTAATTGTATTATGTAACCAGTTTTAATTTGTTATCATATGTCCTCAAAATGTACCAACCGTATATTTTTTTATTTTTATAATTTTCAACGTTCTTACATTATTAAATAATAAGAAAAGAATTATTAAAGGCAATAAAGAGGAATTATCAAAAATTAAATTTATCACATTATATAAACTATGTAAATTTATCACATTGTAATCATTGTAACTATGTTTATAATTTATTCGTATAATTTCACAAAAATACAGGAGATACATATTTTACAACTTTATTTACATTTATTTTATTAATGATACAAAAGTAAATATAGGAAACATAATTCATAAAGATGGACTGCTGAGAAGTAACAGACATCATATTATAATTCCTGTTTGAACCTGATATGTAGTGCATGTCCACAATCAAAGGAAATCTAAAAACATCAAATTATTACGTTGAACTTAATAAAATTAGTGTAATAAAGAATTTGTGTCCTCGTGTGCGCATAGTTTAAAGCTGGAAATATAATAAAAAGCTCAATAAATATTTACAAGTATTTCAACCAATCAGAAATCATGTGCACTATAATGCACGCTTCCTGATGGTTGCAAATATGGTCTTAGGCCGGTATTCATATTCAGAAGTAATGTCTTAAGACGCGAACGTAGCCCTTTGGTTCGTGACATCTTAAGACTTTACTTAAGACATTACTTCTTGACTATGAATACCGGCCTTATTTTCTGTTCGTATTGTTTGTGCTTTCCATTGCGTTTCCAATTTAAATATCCTCGAAAGGACCCATCCATATAAAACAGTTTACAGAACAAATATAGTATAGTTTCAATTATAATTATAAAGTGACACTGCAGGGAAATCGTATGAAAAGATATAACCATATTAATTTTATAATTCATATCGTTATATAAAAACCGACACATAAAGGCCCGTATTCAGAACGCGCTTACAACGATTAGCTCTCTAACATGCTATAGTTTACGTTACACATATTATATAATAAAATTTCAGATATAAAAGCGCGCTTTTACCAATAAAAACGCGTTCTGAATACGGATCAAAGTGTGCATGTGACCCTATCAACCTGTTTACCCTGTTAATACACATACAAATATA